GAAGATCCCCAGATACTTAAACTCCTCCACCTGCGGCAGGACGACCCCCCTGACCCGGAGAAGGCACTCGGCCCTTTTCCGTATTTTGTAGTTGATTAACTGAAATTTAGATATTTTGTGATTGGTTGGCATCATTTCTACAGAGAATCAACAAGTCTCTTTTTAATATGTGCCTCGCTCCAGCACAGGGACCACCCCCAGAGGGTTTGACCAGGTTTTCTATAAACGTGGTTTGAACACGTAATTCGCCCCCACTTTTGCTTTAGACTCAGAGCCACAGACAGGCTCGGACTGAGACTTTAGATCTGAAAATAAACAATCAACTGACAACTTAATTGGTTTTCTGCACATTATTCAGGCGWCCAATTAATACATTTCTATACAGTAATTTAGAGTTTTATTTATCTATTTACAGCATTTTTTATCCTGTATCTGCTTTTGTGTTGTCAGGTCTGCTGTATGAGGAGGAGGGCGCCCTGTTGGAGATAATGTTGTGTGCYATCAGACAGGCATCACAAGCAACTCCACCTGTTGGGAGAAGTCATGGCAAGAAGGTCAGTATCTTAGTAAAATTGTTGAGGGTAAAGAAAATTCTTTTTAAGTGGGAATGTTGTGTATTTTTCAGATACATAGTTCAATTCTATACCACAATCAAACAATTTTACTTTGCATCAAAGCCTATCTAAACGCATGGCCTCTGTCTCTTTAAGAGCCTMAATTCAATTCAATTCAGATTTATTGTCACATCACATAGCGCAACRTACAGGTGAGTGAAAAACTTGAGTGCAAATTCCCACCTGTATGCAGATCACAATATAAAAACATACTCAAAACAACCTCCTACCATTTCTGACGCTCCCGCTTCAGCATGTCTTCACAACAGTGCTTCAGGGGATGGGTGGTATGTGGGGCAGGAGCTCAGCTGGGGACTGAGCTCAAGGGAGGAGCTTTGTGTAAATAGGCGGTGCTTTGTAGCAACAAGTGTTCAGGTAGCTCCATGTGGCCACAGGAGAGTCAAGAATGAGTCAAAGCAACACTCTGGGTTTATTTTTGATGAGGAAATGAGATAAGATAATAAAAACCTCAAAAAGGTTGATTTTCCATAATACCCACCTTTTAAAGAAATTTGCTGCGCATTTTAAAGACACTGAAAATTTGGTTTACATAATCATTGTTCAATACTTTTAAGTAGTGATGTTCGATACTGCCAGTTATTTTTCCTATACTGATACCGAGTAAAATTTGGCTGGTATCGGCGGTATTGATCCGATACAGATACTTTGTGATAACACACATAATGTGTCTGATAAATCTTAAAAAGTAGCATTTTTAAAATAACCGCTTCATAAATAATACATGACATAGTCATTTATTTATTAATTTAAAAGCCTTTCTAACCCTAACCCTGTATTTGTTTAACACAATTTAAAATTCTTCTTCTAAAGAAATATAATAATTTTTGAATAGAGAATAAAAGTGAGAAAAAAAATTCTAAAAGTTGTTTGTAACCCAGAGTAAAATCATCCTCAAATTTGGTTCGATCATGTGATCATAGTCGCATGACTCATTCAGCCAACCACCTTGTGTGGAGTAATAAGGCCTGCTCCAGTTTTCCTCAGTCAGGTGTGAGGGGAGAGCTGGAGACAAAGCTGCTACAGATCTTAAACCACCAGTGAGCCTGGAGCCATGAAGTTGTCATACATTGAACTGTGAATGGAATTGGCCAGGTGACCCTTTTTGGGTTAAAAGGATGGCGAGCTACTGAAATCAGGCTGGGAGCCAGGAGAACCTGAAAATCCCTCTATACTGGTCTGGTAGGAGGCTGTTAAAGTCCGTGCTCTTTTCCCCTCCATCTCCTTACTGACTCTCAAAATATTACTCATCCATCTCCTGTTGTGGACAGTTGCACATGAACAAACCTCAAAATTATGAAACAATAAAATCATGGACTCTTTGTTGGGAAGTCAGTTGGTGACTGTGCTACTCTGCCATTTAATTAAGGAAAAACTGTAATTTTGTGACTGTTTGGTTTTCTTTCATTTCCACAAACTTTGTGCACATTATTTTGAAATTTGACTGCAGTGTTGTAAATATATAATTTTTTATTTTATGGGTTGTGTTTTGTATTTTTTGTTATTTTTTTGTGTTCACTTAATTGTTTCCAAATACATGGTACTGCAACTAAGCTTCCTTTTGTGGTGTTTTTATTGATTACTGACATCAGCTCCTGTAGTCGTTTCCTAGTCTTCTGAGTTTGTATAACATCTGGCTTTTTAGTACCGCAATTGGTGTTACATGTTACTTTGTTAGTTTGTAGCATTGTTTGTGGGTTTGTGGGTCCCTGGCCAGAGCTAATGCTGTTTGCGGGGCCATGGCATGAAAAGGTTTGGGAACCCCTCATCTAGAATTTAATTACTGACAGTCAGACGAAGCAGATTTTATGTTAAAATGACCTGCCATACATCTAGACTGGGTGACTGACTATGCATGTGTTTATGCATTACCCAAGCAGAAGAAAAAGTAGTTCCTTCCAACCACATGATTTAGACAAGGTTTGAATAGTTTAGTTATTTTCCACTATTTTTCTTTTAATGATCGACATTACTCGAAATAACTGAAGTATCAAATTATCGATATTTTGATTTTAGTATTTATTCTAGAGCATAAAGTTCTTGTATCAGTAGTATTGATATTTCAGTATTGATCGGTACATCACTACTTTTAAGAGAAAATGTTTTCTTATTTTGTCACCTTTACATATTTATGGCTGTTCATTTTCCAGTTCCTGAGTATGAAGGACAGGAAGATCCAGGAGCAAGACAGGAGTCGCATTACCACACACTTCATTCCCATACTGCCGCAGCTGCTTAGCAAGGTACCTAGCTAAAGTTGGTTTAGTTTAACATACAGCTTGGTTGTTATTTCACTTAAAACATTTATGGAAAATTAATTATTTTTATTACCGACCTGCAGTACTCAGCAGATGCAGGAAAGGTGAGCCGCCTTCTCCAAGCTCCTCTTTACTTCGATCTGGAGATGTTCAGCAGCACTCAGGGGATGGAAAAGGTAGGAGAACTGAAGATCTGGAAGACCGTTGTGAAAAGCGAACAAGAAAATGTATTTAGTAATTACACCACGAAGAAGTTTTCTCTTTTTTTTACATTGTCCATGTAATGATGTACAGTGGTTTGCAAAAGTATTCATACCCCTTGAACTTTTCCATATTTTGTCACATTACAACCACAAACATAAATATATTTCACTGGAATTTAATG